GTATATATATATATATAAAACAAGCAAAGTTCAGATACATTTCAACATTAACGCCTCCTTAACCCCACCGCCAACCCAAATCCACTTTCTACCATCTGCATAATTTAAAAAACGAGAAAAAAATAACAAAAAAAGGCATAGAACCTGTAGCAAGAACAAAAGAAAAAAGTAGAAATTGAGAGACGTGCTGGTGCTATCTCCGCCTCTGTCTCCGTCCACCACCGCCTCTGTGCTCGACAAAAGGCCATTTTTCTTGAACAACTCAGCTTCGGACTTGGCCGCACAAGGCCGCTTTTCCTAAACATCTCCGGCTCTAACCTCCGATTTGAGCACCAGCATCTACGACGACAAACTCGAATAGATACAAGCGACGGTTCGGAGCTGGCAACGACGAGGCCGGTGGTCCCGCCGTATCCTCTCTTGGCTTTAGCCATCTAAATTATTTGTTTTACTTTTTTTCTCTATTTTGTGGGTTCGTCGCACATTTTTTCAACCGTCCTTCAATTAGGTTGAAATTGTTATGGTGCCAACTTTTATCCTGTTTCTTCTCGATCTCGTCGGTTGCAAATTTTTTAGGGCAAATTGGTCATTTAATCGCAATGGTACTGTGTAGATGATCTCAATCCCAGTGAGGAGCACAAGATTATTTTATCTTGAATACTCATGATAAAGCAAATTTTATCTCGGGCCTAAGATTAATATGTGGGCCCATATCATGTGTACCAAACATAAGATAAGCCTAGATAAATTGTCTTATTCTATCTAATCACCCTAGCCAAATGTGTTCTAGGTCAAATATTTTTCCTAATTTGTTTATTTATTTATTGTCATTTTGCTCGTGACCCAATATGGGTCACCAATAAACATGGTCTTATTATGTATAGCGAATTTAGACTAGACAAAAAATGTGCTTATTCCTTCAATTTTAGACCAAGTAGTCGCGACCAAATTCACGTTCCGGTCCACCAATTTCGGGCCGAATCAATTAATTTTAAAAAATTATCAAATAAAAAATCGTCAGATCGTCAGTTTCAATTCGGGCCGAATCGACTAATTTTAAAAAATTTGTCAAATAAAAAATCGCCAAATCGTCAGCTTCCATTCAAAACCAGAAACGACGTTTTAATTTGTAAAACTTCATGAAACTCAACCGATTCGTCTAAACCCACGGGCCGGCAGTGAACAAGCTTAACCGGGTCGAGTTCGTGCCGAACCCGTGAGCCAATTCGACCCGCGATTATGTCTTAGACCAAGCATGGGCCTTAAAAATTGTGGCTCAAGCGTATCGGCCAACCTAGTCTCGGCCCGATGGCTCGCCGGGTTTTAGCAAATTTTATCATTTCGGAGGGGTAAAACTGTAAAAGCACAACTGACCTCAGGGCGGACAACACGATACATAAAATCAAGGGCAAAAATGGAAAACGAAAATCTAACTCTATATAACCCTAACCTCAACCCTCAACCATTTTTTCACGATCCATTAGCCGGAAAAAAATGAGGCTACAGAGATAGAGATTTTCACCAAAGGGCGGTTGCTCGTCTCTGTACGCCGATGAATTTTTTTTTTTTGTTCCAAAATCAACAGCCCTTTATTTTCTGAGAAATTGAAAAGGGAAAATATATAACATCAAATCGCTCTCTATATACACACACACATACATACATACATACATACACACATATTGTAATTCTTCAGGGTTGCTTGGATACAAAAATTATCTGCAGATCTGCGACGGGTTTGGGGATTAGGGTTTTCGGAGGCTGTGATGATACCTGGTTGGTTGTTTGCTAAATTCTGAGCTAATGGATCGGGCTGAGGAAAAAACCGACCCGTATCTTGGCGGGGCAGGCCGGACGGCGCTGTGGCTTGGTCTCATCGCAACCGGTTGATATGCAGCCATGGCGGTGTTGATTTTTCCTCATGTCTCTTTAACAGATCTGAGCCTCCAACTTCATTTATCTTTTTCTTTTTTTTTTCTTTTATTATTCGATGGGGTTTTTAATTCGATTTTTTTTTTCTGGTACAAAAATATCTGATTTGCTCTTTTTTTTTGGGTCAATTTGATAAATTTGATGTCGTTTAGTAAAAATTTAAAATATCAGAAACGAAAATAAATGAATTTAATCAATTTGATATATTTTTAAGGTATCAAACTAAAAATCTACAAAATGGGAGTATAAAAAATAAATTTTTTCTGGTCCCTGCAGTTTATTTTTATTGGTTTACTTTTGGGACAGTGGAACAAATAATACATATTTAATAAATTAAATTATACTTAATTAGTGATATAATAAAATATTAGTTAACCATTTTTACAATTGTGTTAATTTTAATTCGTCGTTTATTCATAGGCATATTTTTAATCATACATCACTTTGTACAAACTTGTGGTACAAATCTTTAATCATACACGACTATCCTTCTTCAGAATAATTTATCTCAAATGCCAGAAGTTGGTCTAACATATTGCTCATAGTTCGCCTTAAGAACAATTTTAAATTAGATGCAAATTAGTATGTCATTTGAAGTGGTTGACAACCAATTCAATTACATCTAAAAAGTGAAATTAACTAAAAAAAAAAAAAAATATTTTTCGAACTAATTTGAATAATTTTAATCAAAATACATTACACAAATTTGAACAAATTGACTTATTGGGTATGATATATTTATCAACATAATCGATGTCAGACAAAGTGAGAAAGCTCATAAAGTCGAAGCAGTATGTGGAAAAATCAGCAATGTACTTGTAATGCTTAGTTTTACCATGAATGATGAGTTGGTATTTGCCAATAGTAGACTTTTACAAGCCAATGTTGCTCTCAACTTAATAGTTTTTTTTCTTTTATTGCATAATTTGCACATTCCTCAAATTTGTTGAAAAAATTAGCATTGTTGAGCAACAAATTATGCTATTGATAGGACCACCTTATAAATCACGAATTTGTGTAAGAATAATAATTACAAATATAATACAAATGTGAGGTAGCAATTTTAATACACATAACTCTTGATCATGAAGTTTGATCTCAAGTACATTCTTTGTATGATTGGGCTTTGTTTGTCCTTTAAACATACCTACAATTCGCAGTTTGAGCAAGTGCGGTTCGTCCTTCTAATATCTTTAATGCCACCCCATGAGTAAGTCATCTTGAAAACGTGTAAGCTGGTGAATTTATGTGTTAATTTGCAAGATGTGTGATGTATGTTGGTGAGATTATGTTTACTGAATTATGTTCTACTTATAAATGCCACTCACATCGTTGATTCTAAATAATATAATAAAATAACCAAGAATCCTTCACAAATGAGAATTTCAAAATTGACGTCGTATAAATATAAATAACGATGGTCCTACTAGGCGTGCCAGAAATTTGTAACAATAAAATTAATGAAAAAACATAAAAACTTTTGTACAAATTGATTTTATTTCGATCAAATGATATATGGGTACAGTCTCTATAAGAACCACTAATTCTTCTTTTCATGGACTTCGATTAGATTTTCAAATGGGTTTGACACTTAGATCTTCTTTTGGGTTTGATATTGAATTTCTCTAACATTAATTGAGGGTCGAATGACTTATTCATGTATCAAATGTTAGGACTTGATTTGGTTGAAGACGACTTTTTGACGGACTTTCTTCTTTGATCCTTCTTGGAGAGAGACTTGGACTTGAACGTCAACTTTTTCTTTGATCCTAGGAGAGGGACTAGGACTTGAACTTAAACGTAGATCTTTAACTTGAATGACTTGGATTTTCAAGAATACCTTTGGATCTTCAAGAGAATTATGAGAGCTCTTGAACTTTAGACTTTGATTTATGAGGTGTGATTGTGGCTTTGAGGAGAAACTTATTTATATGTGTATGAGAGAGAATCTTAGAGAAGAAGACATCAATTTGATTGGTCCTCCGTGATTTGATATTATCTCTTTCATTATCCTAAGATTTGAGTTGGCGAGCAAGAAATGTTTAGTTTATTGATTAAATATCTTATTTATCTTGGATTTATGTCTAAAAATAAATAAAAAAATTTCGATGCGATAATGAAGAATGAAGAAAACTTACTCTTGGTGAAGATTCTGAAGACTCACGACCAAAAAGATAGAGTCATATATTCAAATGTCTTTGTTTTTGAATTGTAACAATTGAGAGAGTGAGCTCGACCTATACTGGGTATTATAAGAGTTTTGAGAGCTCATATTTGCATTGTATTTCATAGGTTTCGTCAAGCTTAAATTCGTGTTCTTACAGGCTGAAAAGTATAAACTTTTTTAACTTTTCTGTATTTCTCACGACACGGGATAAATGCTTTTGTGCAAGGATCCACTATAAGTTCTTAAGTCCCCGTATTAAGAAAAAGTGACTAGAGAAGTGAGAGTAGGATTAGAAGGGCGTTCTGGTATTGTAAATCTGTACTACGCTCTGTGCGCTCTACCATTTGCGCTCTACCATTTACTAGTGAAAGAATTCTAATAAAAGCGGTATGCTTCCTCAAGAAAATTTTGTTTAACCGGTTTCGCACTTTGTTTCGTATTGTTACATAAAAGTCGCACTTATGCGGTCCCGCACACTACACATGGTTGATTAAGAACAAATGAGAGAGAGAGAGAGAGATTTAAATTATTATAACTATTATATTATGCTCCAAATGTACCTCTAACCTTCTTTATAGTGTGGATAAGAGCTTCATTTGTCACGACTGGTAAATACAAATGCATTCCTTATAAATTAAGCTCAACCTACATAAGTTCAGAAAAACAATTAAGTAAACATGCCTGTGTACTTGTTGTATAAGTCTTGAATATCTAAGCGATTCCATTATGCTCATCCGACATAAGTATACTAGGATAAGTATCATAAGCTAAAGAAGCTAAGCAAGGATTTTTCTTGTGATAATTGTTCAACATCTACATACTTCTCCAGTTCACACACCATTTCACCTATATAAAAGCTCCGAAAACACGTCCATACAGCAAACCATATCCCTGCAAGAAAATGAACAAACTCTCCACCCACAACTCATTCTTGTTTTTCCTTCTACTCCTAATAACAGTACTGTCTTACCCGACCAATGGCTCGAAAATCGAAACCATTGCTAATCACAATTCCGAACTCACTAATCTCCCGTTCGTCATCATAGTTACCGAAGACATCATCCGCAGAATTTGCTACCAAACAAGTGACTTTGACCTCTGCCACCACATCCTGATCGAGTTCGAGGGCCAAACCCTCTACCCCAAGCCCCTGGCCCACGTGTTGTCGACCGAGAAGGAACACGTCAAGTCGACCCTAAAGAAGACCTTGTGGGCCCAAGACACCATGCAGGACCCACGCACGTCTAATTTGGCCTTGAGGCAGACATACGACAAGTGCCTGGCTGACTACACGGAGGCCATGGACATGCTGACCAGAGCCGAAAAGAGTGCGGAAATTTCCAGGCACTGACTAGGCACTGGCCGACGGACACATCAGGCCTTACGGACGATAATCGGAGGTTTCACGATCTTAACACCATATTGTTGGCCATATGCAATACCCTGAAAATGCCATGAAATAAAATTGGTAGACAATAATAATACATTAAAAATGAAATAATTTTCCATATAATTTAACATGTTATGAAACATTTATGAATTTTTCCCAAAGCACCCAATGTAGAAGAAAAACCACACATATATTTAATATGCACTACACACACACACTCATTCAAAAATCATCATCATGAACACAATGATTTTTCTAATAATACTCCTCACCGCATTTTCTAATGTAAGCCCGGCCCCACTTCACCCGGTCGTGACACCCGCCGTCATCGACTCCATCTGCCCCAAAGCCTCGAACCGGTCCCTCTGCCGGGCCGTGCTGGGGCCCGCGATCGGGCGCAGCATCCTTTTCAACCTGACACTCGTCTTGTGCGGGCCCCCCATTCGGATGGCCCAATCGAGCGCCACACGTGCGCGCGGCCTCGCGTGGAACCTCGAGAAAAACACAAACACGACTGAACGAACGCGGAGAAAGTACAGAATGTGTTTCTCGAGTTATAAAGGGGTGTTGGATAAGCTCGGTAAGGCCGACTTGTACATGCACGTACACGTGCAGACGAAGACGAAGAGCGTGAGGCAAGAGGTCGGTCTTGTTTCGGGCCACGTGGAGTCGTGTGATAAGGAGCTCGTGGGCCTGCCTCGCGATGGGTCGGGTCTTTTGGAAGCCAACGGTCGGATCAAGGACCTCTGTAGTATTGTCCTGGCTATTTGTGACTTCCTAAAGGATCGAAAATGAGTCTTTATAATTTGTTATCATGTAAAAGATTTCTGGATAAATGCATATTTGGAGAAATGATATTTCATATTTTCAAGCCAATTAATAATGCATTTATTAATTGGTATATGACTTGTAGATTTATATGATTTAATTAGGCTCATATGATAAAAGCATTCTTCTAGTAAATTGTTCATCAATGTATTTTTCCAGTTTCATGCACCATTTCACCTATATAAAGTATACATATCATTTTGCTAGAATTATTGAAATTATTTACATGTGATTGAGATTGTCAATACAAATATATTATGGAACTTGGTAATTTATTTGAAGAGGTAATTGCATAAAAAACCTCTAACCTTTTGTTTAATTGCAAATAAAACTCAACATTTTCAATTTGACAAAAAAATACCAAACCTTTTTATTAAGTGTTGCAATTTTGTCTCACCCGCCGTACCTCCGCCAACCGCCGCTGCCAACCGCCAACCGCTAACCGCCGCCGGCCAACTTCGTCGGATATTGAAAATTTTTACATGATCTTGTAGCTCTCCTCCGTGCCGACAACATATCCGAGTTTCACGAAAAAATTCCGACGATAAGGCTTCCAATATCCGGCGAAGTTGGCCGGCGGCAGTTGGAGGTTGGCGGCGGCAGTTGGCAGAGGTCCAGCGGGTGAGACAAATTAGCAACACTTAATAAAAGTTTTGTACTTTTTTTGCCAAATTGAAAAAGTTGAGTTTTATTTGCAATTAAACCAAAGATTGAGGTTTTTTTATGCAATTAACCCTTATTTGAATTATTATTATAGAATTACTGCCATTGTAGTCCATTCAATGGGATCTAATTGCATATACAGGCATTTTATAATTAATTCTGGTGTATTAAAGGAAAAGTACAGTAAATAATGTCTGTCAAACTTTAATGGATTGCAGTATCTATGCAAGAAGACCACTGGCCCAGGGTGTGATCAATAAATGTTGTAAAAAACAAAGATTACTGCAAATTTTCAGTCTGTTTTTTTATGGGCGAAACTGCAATTTTTGTCCTGTTGGTTTGATCCAGTTGTTTTTAGTCCTAAGAATTGAACATTTTTGCTATTTGGTCATATGATTTTAAAATTCAACGCAATTTCAGTCCTTTGGGACGGAAAATGCCACAAAATTTAAAATTACATGACTTAAATTGCTAATGAAAAATCTTTTGGATGGATTTTTTATTTGCAATTTAAGTCCTGTAATTTTATATTTTGTTGCAATTTCAGTTGACTGAAATTGCAACAAAATACGAACTGAAATTGCAAAAAAATATAAAATTGCATGACCAAAAGACAAAAAAGTTGAAATCTTGGGGCCAAAAAATGCTACCGCATTAAAAAGCAGGACTAAAAATACAATTTGCCTTTTTTCATGCATGAAGATACATTTAATAAGTTAGTACTACCTCATTTTTAAAATAAGTGTCGTTTTGACTTTTTTGATTCATCCATTTTACTATGTATCTAGACATAAAATGGATGAATCAAAAAAGTTAAAACGACACTTATTTTAAAAAAGAGGGAGTATAATTCAAAAGAGTTCAAATTAAATGTCTGCATTAAACAATACTAAAAGCAGTAGTATTATATAGTATTGGTATCTTGTTACATGGAAAGATGAACCAAATGCATTGCTAATAAACATGTTCCTAGTGTTAATGGTGACATGTTGGGTATTGTGTTTTGTTTCAAAAACTTTTGAATTTGTCATGCATTTCAATAAGAATTTTGCAAAGCTAATTCAAACTTACATTTTTATTTTTTGAAAAATAAAAAATAAAAAAAATTATTGTGTGAGAAAGTGAGATAAAAAAAAAAAAAAAAATAGAAAAAGTTGGATAAATTTTAGATTGTTAATGGCTATTAGACAAAAACGTAACGATTAAAACTGATGTGATATATTAAATAAAATCCTAGCTAGAATCTGTGATTGAAATGAATAATTATTTTGTTAGAAAATATATAAAAATAATAATTACTTTTTTATTTTTTAATTGTGTTAATAGATTTTCTGGGAAAAAAATGAGATGAAGTGGATAATATTTTTTTTCTCAACATTTTTTTTTTTCCTTTTATTTCAATATTGTTGTAAATATTTTTAACCGGAGTAGAATCCAAAAATTCGACATCGGGTCGTATCACGAGGAAGGTTAGCCGGATTATTCTATGCGAATATTCAATCACAAAAAAAATAAGAAACAAATCCTAAACACTCTAATTCAAGTTGGAGGTTTGATTTATCAACTACGAAAATTAAAGCAAGAGACACGAATTTCAAACAAACGATTAACTTGGTTATGAAGGAGTTAGGGAGTCGGGGACAATCGTTCTCGGTTCTTGACTCAATTACCGGGCAATCAATTGCTCGGTTAAGGGAATTGAATCGCCTATTCGTATAGAGGTTCACCTTCAATAACTCTTCGTAACAAGAAGGTGGACATACACGAATAACTCATCAAACCCTACAACACATAGACAATACAATAACGAACAAGTCTATTCCAAACGAGCCTAAATCGACCGACGCCTTCCCTTTCGGTTCTAACGTCGATTGATTAGGTTAGATTGGTGATCAATCAACTAACCCTAGAATATGCACAACTCGCAAGGATTGAACAATTATCAAACACGTAATTGAAAACGAACCGAAACAATCGTCCCCTATCCCTAACTTATGGAATTAGCCACTCATCTCAACATCAACACAAGCATTCATCATAAAAGAAGCCATCACATTCATATGCAAGATGAAAAGAAAGGCTTACGATTAATACCAAATCCAAGTCGATGAATCAACAAGCCAACCAAATCCAAAGCTAGAAAATGAGTTTAAAACCTCCAAAAATCCAAACTAAGATGAAAGATAGAGAAAGATAATGTTCTAGGGTGAAAAGTAGTGAAAAACGAGTCTGAATCCCCCTCCCCTTTGACCTAAGCTCGAGCAATAACCTTCCAAAATTCGAAATCACGAAAATCGCGCAGCCGTTACAAAACAGACCTTAGCGGCGCTAAGGGTTCTTAGCGCCGCTAAGCCACCTTAGCGGCGCTAAGGTTCCATAGCGCCGCTAAGCCTTGTTAGCTGCTCCTCTCTGGCTTCGCTAAGAAATAAACCGCCGCTAACAAACTGACCTTAGCGGCGCTAAGGTTTCTTAGCGGCGCTAAGGGCTGGACAGCATCAAAAACTTCACATTACGGGCCTGTAAGCTCGGCTAGCGTCTCTCGGGTACTGCCCGGGCGGGAAACTCGATTCTCGTAAGTTTGGGTCCATATAATGATGCTCGAACAGTGTACTTCCCTCCTCGACTGAATGCTCGCCAATTTGGACAACCTAGAACCTGAAATCGCACCACCGGACAAACACGAAAAACAAAAGAAAATAGGAAGGAAAAAACAAAGAAAACACTAAACACACCGAAATAAAGATGAAAGCATAAGAAATGACAAAGAGGACCGAAAATACCTAAGAAAAGACCTAAAACGGGGGAAACGACACATAGAAAATCAACGAAACTAGCAACAAAAACGGGACAAACAAATATCAGTGAGATAAATTAATCTCACCTGAACAACCAAAAGAAAAAAATAAAAAAATAAAAAATACAACAATTGTTCATAAGCTCTATAGTTGACTCTTATCCAGAAACACAACCACAAGAGTCAAATAAAATGTTCACTTTTTATAAGTAAAAAATGTATGTTTTTTTATGTGCAAGTCAAATGTACACAACACTGACCACTCATATGAGTCATGAATAACCGAATAGGTCAGTTCTGTATTTCATTTTAAATTTCAATAACCCAAATTAAATTTAGATTTACTATTACAATTACAACATCATTGTATACACATTGAATTTTTAAACTTCCATAAGTACTATTTTAAATTATTAAACTATAATGAAATCAGGGGCGAAGCTACTTGTACTGGCTGGGGTCGTCCGACACCGACGCTTTGCATTGAACCACTTGTACGTAACAAAATTTCACCGTGTAAGACCCCATTAAAAAAATAATAAGACCCCGACAGCAGGGCGGATCTATATAAGACACCGTGTAAGACCCCCCCGACCCCCTCAACTAAAATTTCTGGCTTCGCCCCTGAATGAAATATAAACCTAGTAATACAATATCCACGCAATATTAGACTTAGATTATCACTTGAAATTATTTCAAAATACAGACTTTTCATATCATAGAAAATTATCGAGCATTTATTGTGTAATCAAACACTTTTACTCACCGTATTTAGGAAGATCTTACAGTTGGACAACTATATGTCGAAACATGCACCCATCTTTTTTCAACATATTTACATAATAATTTCAAACTAAAATTTTCATATTCTTAAAATAATATAAATAAAAGTATGATATATGCGATTTTGTTATCGAATTTTGACGCATTTAGTTAAGTCGTCTCGCATAAAAATTTGTACACTCGTGCATCTAGCAACATAGTGGGTCCCACTCAAACAGAGGGATCCAATGCAAATGCTGTGATTTTATTTTAGGGCATATATACATATTTTATCTGCACTGGCTTTATAGATTTCATTGTCTGGTTCAATTTGTTCTAAATGGAAGACTTTATTTAAATTGAATGCACCTTTTCATGCCCTTTTAGAAATAAATAAATAAATAAATAAATAAATAAATAAATAATAATAATAATAATAATAATAATAATAATAATAATAATAATAATAATTGTGGGAATACCCATTCTCGTAAATACACACAACAGCCGAGCGGGAATAACAATAAGCCGTGTTAATTTTTGAATTTCAAATGTCAAAAAGACAAAACGGCTCTCAGTCACTTATTTATTGGCCACAACAAAACAAAACAAAAAAACTACTACAAAAAAGAAGAAAAAGATACAAAACACAGTACACACAGTTGTGCAGTCAGTTCCATTACTGAAGTACACACTACACAATCAAATGATAGAGAAATGCTAACGGAACCATTTTGTCGGGATTTGTAACTGTTAGATCATCATGTAACCGACGTGGATAGTTGATCTAACGATTATAGACCCAACGAAATAGTGACTGTAGAATCTCTCCAAATCATAAGCATCATCTCTTTAATTTTAGTAAAATGAAATAATGAGGGAACTTTTTATTTAGGGATGAAAACGGAAACGGTAATTTCCGATTATCGGGAATCGTTTTCGAATTTTTTTCGAATTTGGAGGCTAAACGGAAACGGAAACGGTAACCGGAAAAACAGAAATGGAAACGGTAAAAAAATTCGAAAATGAAAACGAAAATGGTTTAGCCCTTTTCCGATCGTTTTCGAAAATTACCGTATTTAAACGGTATTTTACCGTCGGTAATACCGGCCCAACCCATACTAGGCTCACTTTTAATTATAAAGCCCAATCCAAATCCCAAATGGGCCAAATGCCCAAATCCCCTTTAGCCCAACCCTTCTACAATGCTCAAATCTTGAAATCCCCTTCATCCCTTTCGATCTTCACTCTCGAGTCTCGTCTGGGATTCTGTCGTCTCTCCAATCTGCTCGTCGTCTGCTCGTCGCCACTCCCGTCACTTGCTCGTCGCCGCCGCGCCCCACTCCCATCACCGTCGCAAACCGCATCTACAGTGCCCAAATCCCCTTCATCTCGTTCGGTCTTCACTCTCGAGTCTCGTCTAGGAGTCTGTCATCTCTTCCATCGGCCGACGACCATCGCAATTCGCCACGCCTGCTCGTCGTCACTCCCGTCACCTGCTCGTCGCTGCCGCGCCCCACTTCCATCAACGTCGCAATCGCACCAGCCGCTACAGGCTCCAGCTGCCGCCGCCTACCCCACTTTGGTGGACAAGTCACAATTCAATTGCTAGTTATTTGAATTTGTATGGATTTTCTTATAGCAAATGGTGTGGATTTTAATTTGGATTTTGCTACTATTATGCCATGAAAATATTTCAATTAATGTTTTAATGCTATATTTTATAATGTGGTGTGTTTATCGTTTTTTAAATACCGTTTTAATATATTTCGATCGTTATCGATGTATTTTCGATCGGATAGTTTCGTTTTCGATATTACCGGAATCCGATGTCGTTTCCGTTTCCGACATTACCGTATCATTTTCGTTTTCAAGAAAAAAATGAAAGTGGAAATGGTTGAGCCCTATGCCGATCGTTTCCGATCGTTTTCATCCCTATTTTTATTAAAGACTTTCTACCAATAAAAAAATTGCCTTTTTTATTATGGTACTTTTATTTATATTAGTCACAAGTTCACATAATTATAACTAAAAGATGTCATTTTTTGACAATGTAAAATTGTTATTTTTTATTTTTTTTTTTATTGTGAAATGTCATGTTTAACTAATAAAAAAAACATTATAATTTGCTTTTAAAGTTATTATCTTCTTTCTTTGCAATCTTTTCATGTTTGTGTTGTTGACCTTATTCAATTATTATATAACATTTCAAAGATTGAACCATAAAATTGTGATATTTATTTTACCATATGCTTTATGAATTAAAAGGGAACAACTTATTTCAAATTTGTTAATAATAATAACAACTATTTGTGATGTGATAGATTAATAGTTAAATAATAACTGAAGAGTCATAAATACATGAATTGATAAATACTAAATGTTATTAAAAATACATAATCATATTTATTTTTTTAATTGAAATCTCATATTGAAAGTTGTGGCTTGAAGAAGAGAAAAAAGTGTAACAGCTAAATTAAGAGAATAAATATCCAATTTCAGTTAAAAACAATAATCACGAAGCCTATGTTTGGTTCACGGGAGGGGAGGGGAGGGGAAGGAATTTAATGGAAGGGAGGGGAGGGGAGGGAAAGGGAGGGAAAATAATTTACCTTGTTTGGATGGATTTTGTAGAGAGGGAGGTGAAGGAAAATGATTAACCTTGTTTGGTTAGAAGATGGAGGGGGAGGGAAAATAATGTTAAAATGACAAATATATCCTTAATGATGTAAGGAAAAAAAATAAAATAATTCACAATAAGGTCAAAAGAGTAATTTGATATTAAAAATTTTCCCTCCCCTCCAAATTCCCCCACTTTTGGAGGGGTGTGTATTTTCCCTCCTCCAAGGGATTTGAAGGGAAAATCTTAATCCCTCCCCTTACTTAAAATCGAACCAAACAAGGGAAAACTAAAAATTTCCCTCCCCTCCCTTCCCCTCCCCTCCGTTTCCTCCGAACCAAACAAAGCCTTAATGGGGAAAGAAAAAAAAAATGAGAGACTCCCAAAATTCGATATTATTATTTTTGGTAAAAACAATAATGATTAATCCATAATATTTTGAAAAATACTACCGTCCCGTTACGGAACTATTCCATCGAATTTATAATCGTTAAATCATCATTTAACCGTTGGGATAGTTGACATAACGGTTACAAATCCCGACAAAATTATCATCTCCCTAATAATTTATTCTTGTTTAATTAACTGAAGTATTTTGAAGGGCTACCCCTAACACCCTATCCCCAAATCTACCTATCTATTTACTATATAATTAGGCAACATACTTACTAAAAATAGTAAGTGTTTTAGTGGGTTCCTCATTATATTATTATATTTATGGAAAGTTAGTTTCAATTTTTTATTATTTTATTAAACGTGCTTCAACATCCGTTAATTATTTTTCTTTTTCATTTTAATAATAGGTTAATAGTAAAAGTGGACCTAAATTTGTTATTACCATTCATAAATAGACATTTTAAAATGTTTTGTCTGTTTTTAATTTCTCATTAATATAAAAGTAAATTTCTTTTTACATGTACATGATATGTTGAATCACAGTGAATTATTTATGATGTATGTTAAATAATAATTTATATTTAAAGACTTCCTAAAAATATGAAAATACTAGATAGTAATATGGTACTTATTTAAATAAAAGAATGGTTCACAAATAAATAAATTGTAAGTATATGTATAGAAATAGAAAATAATAGTTAATAAATAAGATACATTATAAACTATAAAACGAGACAAGTAAGAAATAATATATTCAAGTGTCAAAATACGATCTAAATTACATGATAAATTCAAACAAATTGTGATAAACTGTGTTAAGATAATAAAATAATTGGAGACTTTTTTTATTCCCCAACTATATATATTTGCGCATTTTTGTACACGATGTTCCAATTAAATCAATTTAGTTACTCAATTTTTCGTTTATCAATAATTTTTGGTCCACATCGTTAGATTTCATAAAAAAAAAAATAACGGTTTTAGAAAGAAATTCGTTAAATTCATAGAAAACTATATAATTTTTTTTTCGTTAATACTATGCCAATTTGTTCTATTAATGGAAAACTATATATGAATTTTATTTTAGGCTTTTAATTTTGAACTTTACATTGTTGCTTCTCGAGTTACATATAAAAAGACACAAGATATGATATATAATGAGAAATATAATATACAAATATAAACATTGTTAATCTATTTTAATTGCATATAAAAATTATTTATTCTATTTATGTTTCCTTATTTCATTTATTTTTTTACTAGTTTCGTGCATTTGCACGGGCCACGATATTTTCATTAATTCTTGAGCCCACATTCAATATTTATGCTTTAAAAACATTAAAAAAAAAAAAACAACAACAACAACAACAACGACAAAACAGCACATGTTTTTGCAGCTCTTGTACAAAGCTCTGGCTCTCTCGCCTTTGCTCATCAGTTGCTTCACATAACCCCCATTCACAAGCACAAAATAGTTTCCTTCAATTTTACAATTCCTGTTTTTATCCTTATTATTTTCCAGCTTTTGATACCACATTTTACAGTCTCTCTCTCTCTCTCTCTCTCTCTCTCTCTCTCTCTCTCTCTCTCTCTCTCTCTCTCTCTCTCTCTCTCTCTCTCTGTGTTGAGAGGAGATTTTCTGGTCCGTTGTTCAAAGGTCTGCACTAAAATGGGGGCTTCAGGCAAATGGATTAAGACACTGATAGGGCTGAAGAAACCTGGTAAAGATGACCAGGTAACCATATTAGTTATCACTAAACTGTTCGAAAAAGATTGAGTTTTTATCTTCCTTCAGGCAAATGGATTAAGACATTCTATTTTTCTTCGAAAAATTATGTGCTGAATTTATGTTGTTCTCAAAATCTTATCTTTCTGCTTCACTTTTGTTTTCTATAGATTTTAGCTAAAGATACAATCTTTAATGGTTTTCATGGCATTTATGTCCTTTTCTGAAGGCAAAAGTCGGTGGGAAGGGCAAAAAATGGAGGATTTGGAAGGGTTCACCGTTGGATCTAAGTGGGCCCTCATCATGGAAAGGATTCAAGAAAATGGGCGGCTTAGATTTCTCCTCAGACTCTTCATCTATGAACAATGATGCTTTTAATGCTGCTGTTGCAACTGTTGTGAGGGCTCCTCCTAAAGATTTCAGGGCTGTTAGACAAGAATGGGCCGCCATTAGAATCCAAACTGCTTTCAGAGGTTTTTTGGTGAGTGTTTTCTTTATCCCCTCAAGTTTGTGTGTTGCCTTTTTTTTGGTAGCCAGCCACGGTATCCGAAACTATGCCCCGACTAATCCGTTGGTCGACCCGGGTCGCACACCTGGCAGTGTTGCCTTTTGTCTTTTGAGAAAGAAGAAATACTTGTAATAAAATTGATGGTGGGGGGATATGATAATGATTAGGCAAGAAGAGCTTTAAGGGCATTGAAAGGATTAGTTAGGCTCCAAGCCATATTCCGTGGCCGACAGGTTCGTAAACGAGCTGCCGTAACTCTTCGGTGCATGAAAGCTCTTGTTCGCGTGCAGGCTCGAATTAGAGCCCGCCGTGTTCGTATGTCTGAAGAGGGACAGGCCGTCCAGAAGCTGCTCGACGAACGTCATGGCGTAGATGTTTCGTTGAAACAAGCTGAGGTTTTTTTATCGAAACATCATTAAATTTTCTTCCCTTTTTTTTTTTTTTTTTTTTTTT